TTTTTTTTTTTGACAGACTTCGGTTTCTTGGACTAATATTCAATACTCCAGATGTGAAAATCTCCAATTTTTATCGTCTGGAGTATGTTTGTGAATTAAAATTCTTTCATTTTCTTTTTATTAAATTATATTAATCATATATTTTTCTCATTAACGTAGCAAAAATGCAAATGCAAAAATGATTTCAAAACATAAACATTGATGAGATATACAATAGTTTAAGACTTTCCGTGCGCTATATGTACCATGTTCGTCGAGGTGATCCGCAAGAACTCAGCGTGGTCTCGGGCGTTGGGTGCAAGATTAGAATATTGAAGATCTTATGTTCGATCCTGCTTTTTCCTTTTTTCCTTTTTTTTTAATAAATAACATTATTAATAAACCTATTACTTCAAATATACTTTTTATAAAATTACAGAAATTATATATTGTGTAAATTGTGTACTTCAATGTACTCGAAATTAGTTGCGCATTTCGGGCCGATTTCTGAAATGCTGCCTACTTTTCCTTCACAACCGCTCGTCGCTTGACGGCCGAACCGCTCACGCGCGGACATGCATCTCAAGAGCGTCACAGGAAGCGTATAAGGAACAGTATGCTGCGACCTAATCATACCTTCCAGCAAATTATCATGAAAATATTTTCCTTTCTAAATAATATTGTATTTTCTTAATAATAGTGATTGGACATCATAATAACTTAATGCATTTTATTGAATACAATGTATTTTTAAAATATTACTTTATTATTTTTATGATACATTCAGTTTCAAAGGGCTACTGATCACATTTTTGCGCCAGAATGTAATATAGAATTTTACTGCGTCATATATCTGGTCATCTATTTGTATTTTTTTTTTTTAGTGGAATAAACCTGGAGAATGCACTCAAATGATGTATCAATAATAGAACTTCAAAGATAATAGAGAGTTTTTACAATAACGTAGACTTAGTTACAGTGAATGCCTTTTCTTAATTAGTCGCTAAGGAGAAGATAATGTGACCATGATATCGATTATGTATCTTTTTTCTTAGAGTGAAAAATAAAAATTTTTTGTATGTGTGTATATATATTTATATATGCATACATATATCGTTTTGCGTGACGCTGTATGTGTCAGAAAATAACAGCGTTATATGAGTCAATCAGCTGTAACCAGTATGACCCGCGTTCACAGTATCGTTGCCGTGCAACAGAACTGTCAATTCAGTGTAGTGTAGTAGTGTTTTACACACAACCATATATGTGTGTGTGTGTGTGTGTGTGTGTGTGTGTGTATAGTTATATAGTGTTTTGTGTCCACAAAATAGAAAAAAATGTAGCAGAATATTGTCTGCCTTTGGTAAGAGAAGATTATGGGTGCTTTCTAACAAGCGACTCAGTACAATACAGTATCTCATTCTTGTATTGGCGAACAAGATTGTAATGATGCACCGTATCACACTATGTCTCTTGTTGGAAGGCACTCTAGAAGGTCAAAATTGCTTATTGTGATATATGTTTCTTGTTGGAAGGCACCTTATAAAGCCAGTATGGAAAAGGTTAGCATCTTTATGTCATTCGTGAAAATGTCACTTTTATTTATCATACAAGTGATATATTAGGTGTACAAATAAGTTTCCGCCGTTTTTTATCAAAAATTAAGCATTTATTGTGAAAGAAAGATACATAATGTTTTATTGATGTAAGTGAAAATATAAGTGCAAGTTCTCTTTGCGTTTGGCACGAATCTTCATTCAATAATGCTTCCAATTCCGCGTCTTCGTTCACTTTCGGCCTTCCGCTACATTCTTTGTTTTCGACGTCAAATTCACCGTTCTTAAATTTTTGGAACCATTCACGACAACTTCTCTCACTTAAGACAGCCTCATCATATGCTTCTACAAGCAATCGATGAGCCTCAGCTGCAGATTTCTTCAAATTAAAGAAGTAAATCAAAAGTTCCCGCAAATGACGCTTATTCGGCTCAAAACTCGGCATTTTTGCACAAAAAAAAATATATGATGCTGATACAAAATCGCTAGTATTTCAAAATTATGTTGTTGACAGATGTCCAACCTTATGATATAATGTTTTACATCAGACAATTTTAACCATTGCTAGTGGCGCCGTCTTTCGTCAAACGGCGGAAACTTATTTGTATACCTAATAGTTAACAATAATTTGTGCTTTGTTTAATTAGATCCAATGTCAGAGGCGTTCATCGTGGGCTGACTATTTTTAATTTACTGCCAGAGTCGTTAATCGTGCTTTGGCTAGTTATAGACAAATGTCAGAGACGTTCATCGTGGGCTGACTATTTTTAATTTACTGTCAGAGGCATTAATCGTGAGCTGGCTAGCTATAACAAAATGCCACAGCCGTAAATCGTGCTTTGGCTAGTTATAGACAAATGTCAGAAGCGTCCATCGTGGGCTGACTATTTTTAATTTACTGTCAGAGGCGTTAATCGTGAGCTGGCTAGCTATAACAAAATGCCACAGCTGTAAATCATGCTTTGGCTAATTATAGATAAATGTCAGAGGCCTTCATCGTGGATTGACTATTTTTAATTTACTGGCAGAGGCATTCGATTATCAAATTTGGTGAAATACAATTACGGAATCAACTTGTAGAATTTTGCGTCTACAATTAAAGAAATGTATACAATTAAAGAATAGCATTGTCATGATGGAATCAAAAGCTGACATGATGGAAACAAAGAAACTAATGAAGAAAAAAAAGACTGAATATCAGTAAACAGCTTTTTTCAAACCTTATAACTTTTGTCTGAAACGTTTTTTCTAAAAGCGTTATGTAATGGCCTTATAGCACAAGAATGGCCGTAATTCAATCATAGAAGAGAACGTGAATCATAGGTCAACATATTATATTTTGGCGTACTATGCATGCCGATACAAGTATAATTCACATTCCTTTACGATTATAGTTATAGTCACCTTTATGTTCAGCTCCTAAATCCGAGGTCTTTTTGGACACCCTATATAATATATACGTTATACATATATACATGTATAGCATACATTATACAGTCAATAGTCACATGCATAATTTTCGTACGATGCTGTACGTTTATGAAATGTATATAAGTATATCATATTCAAAGCAAAATGTTTTAGCAAATTTATACATTTATAGGTCAATGTGTACGTTGACTAACAGCAAGTTACAATAAGTATATTTTTACTAAATACATTCTGACTGTGACTTAAATATATCTTCGGATGTAACCATGTATTTAAAATACATGTATATACGTATAATGTAATAGCACTTTTTCCTTTATTCTCAATACTATTTTAACTTAGGATGTAACATGTATTGTCAGTATGTAAATACATTGCACATACATATGTAGCTATTTCATCTCTTTTTATTATGTATTATATTTAATGAGCCTTTTACAATTATAAGCTATAAATCAGCCATAAATAAGAAGTCAGAAAAATTGATTGTGATTGATCAATTTTTAGCTTCTTACTTCTGATTTGTAATTAATGGCTTATTGTAGAAGACCTATAAAAGAGAGATAGAAGTTATATCATACTTAGCTCATACTTAGCTTTTTATGCAGATATAATATAGACACATTAGTGAATAATAGAATTATATTTTATGTGCATTATGATGTACTCACATTACAAAACATAAAATATATTTCTAATTCA